GTCTCGCTAAAAGGTGCATCGTCAAAGCTCATTTTTCTTGTAGTGACCCTCCGTAAGTACGAAAACAAACTCAGTAAATGTTTTTCATTAGTATAAAATTATGTAAAAGAAATGCTAATAATTTACTGATTAAAGAAATCTTATTTATCTTTATTACAAATATATAAGAGAGTACTTAAAGTTCACTTACTTCTTATTAGCTAATTTGAAACCAAGAGTATAGAAACTATGGTTGATAAATTTATATAAAAAGTAAGAATTTTTTTAGTTAAGAACAAGAAATATATGTTATTTTGATATAAAAAAGAGAATTCATGTAAATGAAGTAATTGTGAGGGTTAATAAGAGATTAATAATAAAGAAGATTATCAAAGTTTTCCAGACAAGTAGACAAACGAGGATCAATAAGAATATGAAAAAAAAAGATGATCCATTGAGATCTAATAAGAATAAATAATGAATTAAACATATAATATGTAAGCTCAACAAATGATTGTTTGTGCACTTAAATAGAATCATGTGCTATGCTGGAATCCCATTGAAAGATACATAAGTCAAACAATTGATAAAAATATTTAAATTCTATTTTTCTTTTTCTTTTTTGCTCAACTAAAATAAAATGTTAATATTAAAAGTTTATGGAACATGACATTTATAAGAGACATTACTAAATACATCTAGTAGAAAAAAATTATTAATTAATCATAAAACCATGAAACACGTCATAAATTATAAGAAGAATAGATTGATCGTCAAACAAAAGTAAAATATTTTATGTAGAAGCAAAAATAAATTAACAATAGTGAGCAAAAGCAATTAGAACAACATAATCAAATAGCAATAGTCAATAGAAAAAGAAATTGATAAAAATATCCAACAAAAATATATAGCAGCAAGGAGCACATGACATTAACGTTGAATTGTTGAAGCACGAAAACAGTCAAACATATAGCATTTTGCAAAAGCTAATATCATTAGACATTGTTGAAGATAAAAAAAATTAGAAAGACAATAAACAATAGCATATAATGAATGACCAATTAATTTTTTTTCTTCTCAAATGTAATTAGTTGATGTATTTTTTGGCTCTTATTATCTACTAAATTTTTTTTGCCTCTTATTATATGCTACAATCTTTTAGATTTCTTTAATTTATTAAATTATTTTAGACTACTATTGTATTTTAAGGAAAAAATTTGGGCCCCTGATATTTTTGGACCCTAGGCGTGCGCCCATGCCATCCTCCCCCAAGGACAACCCTGAGGAGAGCGATCGATTGAAGCCTTTTTGCTACTATATTTTCATTGTTAACTAAGATAGATAAGCTCAAAACTTGTGTTGCTTTGCATTCAATTGGTTACTTCATTCGGTTTTGTTTAATTCGAAGTTTAAGGGTCTGTTTGTTTTGTAGGATTATTTTTGAGGCATTTGGATTGGAATAGATTTGAAATCATTTGGTTTGGTTTGTAGGATTTGGAAAGGAATTGGATTCCATTATTTATAAATAATTTAAAAAATATATATAAATAATTATAAAATAATTAAATTACATTTTTATTACAAATGTTTTTAACATTTTTAACACCTTATTTCATACAATCCCGTGAAATCCCAAGCACCCCCTAAAGAATTTCAAAATCCTATGTTTATAAGACTTCAATTAAATCCTAGGATTTATGTTGGGTCACCTATTGATTTGGTGATGACCCACTGATCTGTTCCTCTATCCTATCAACACTTAGTAGTTATTGGTTTCTTAATACATACTTAAAACCGTTGGCAAAATCGAAGACTAACTGATGTGAAGACAGAAGGTCACCGATGAGGTACTGTGGATCAACTATTTAAATTACACAACAAGACTCAAAGTAGCTGATTTGAAGATTGAAGATGTTTTGTAGCTACTAGCCGACTAAAGGAAGATCTTCATGCACCGGGATTTGTATGTAGCTGTTTGAAGCTACTAATCCATCCAAAGAAGATCTCCCTATAGACTGACTATATCTCAACATGTACCTGATAAAGACATTCCTTATCAGGATATTTGTTTTTGCATGAACAGTGTTGTGTGCATGTTGTGTGCGATGAAAATGATATATCAACTACAATCAAGTCAACGCTTGTCTTCTTATCCTAAGATGACAAGTGTTCCCATGCATTTAATGCATGAAGGTAGTATAAAAGACAGTATGCATCTCTCATGCAAATAATGCTTTCCTGAAAGAATTTCTAAGTGCATTCTCAAAGGTAATCGACTATCTTCTACTATACCCCTATTCTCTTGTGTGTGAAGAAAACCTTAGTGTTCTTCTGTTGGTCCCAGCCAGGTCTACAAGAGTTTAGAGGAACAATATGTAGAAAAAGGGGGGGATGAATACAAACACAGAAAACTTTCGTATTTATAAAATATATATTGATATAGAAGGATCAATACGGATTTTTTGCAGATTGTTTGCAGAAATAGAAAAGGTAAAGATAACCTATCTAAAACAATCTAAGATTATACACAAATATACTTAGCAAATAGAATAGATTTGCCGAAAAGATAAAGACATAAATATGTTCTTCTTGAGTAAGAACTTTAGAATTTAGAGAGAAATTCTAACTTGCTTGAAGATAAGCGTATGTGTTCTGTAGGTAGTTGTATAGTGCATGGAGAGAGCACTCAACTATTTATACCTATTGCAATAAATGAAAATCAGAAGGGATGGAACACGCGTCAAGCTTTAAGAGGAAAGTTTGTCATTCGCTACAGTAAGTAGTACATTTGTCTATTCATGAGCAAACATCCTTTCGTGGAGTTGGTGGACACTAGATTCGACTAGTCGGCTCCGTGGTGTACTATACTCTTGGAAGGGTATGGGTTTGTCGTTTGTGTGTGGAAGGACAAAACAAAAACAATCGTGCATGGCAAGCTTCATTTGATCGTTGAATGCTAGAATAACACTTGAGGTCTATGCAGCATTCACTGAGGCTTGTGCAGTCTTCACACATATGTTGACCAGGTTGTAATCACTGAATATTGCTTCAGATCACGAACGTGCCAGTCACTAATCTTCAGTTTCAGTCTTCGACATTCACTAAAGATTCTTTGGTGTGATTTTTGTCTTCTTGAAGTATCGTTGTCGTTGTAGGATTACAATGCGTGTTTCAGCGGTTACTAAATAGATTCAGTGATGATCGCTGGAACTGAAAAGACAGAAACAGTAATACTTCGAAAGGTAAAATGGATTATCATCAAATCAATGAGAGAGAGGATCAACAATCTCCCCCTATTTGATGATGACAAAACAACATAAAAAAAAATTGCCTTAAGGTTTAATAGTAAGGAAAAGTTACATATAAAGTACATGTCCCTTTTAACTATTTTGGGATCTTTTTCAGTGATACAGTTTTTACTATATAAGTTTTCTTAAGTTACAAGTTTAAGGAAAAGTACAAGAAGGGAAACTGAAACTGAAAACATGTTCATTGACTGAAGATTGTTAGTGACTGTAAAGAATACTGGAACTCATAGACATGTGTCCGTATTACTCTTTTCAGTGATCTTTTTCAGTGAGGCTGATGAAACATTAATCAAAGGAAAATTACAAGTACTTCAGTCAGTACATTTCTAGAATTATTACATATGAGTTGTACACTGAAAGAAAATACATAGAAAAATAAGACTTACAATGAAAGATAAATTTACAAGACAAAATTTCATAACTAATCTAAGTCGCTAAAGTCAATGTAACCAGGTACTTCTTCTCCAAGCATCTTTCGACATAGAAGTTCTCTTCTGATTTTGTGGTCTATCATTTCACCAAAGAGATCATTGTCCAACGAATATCTTAGATAAGCAAGATGTTCCATAGGACAAAGATTAAACTCAGACACTCTCTGGAAGTTGTTTTCTCCTTCATAGTCAAGGAATATAAATCCAAACTCAGGCTTTAGATGCACAGTGTTGGGTATGTAAGGACCCTTCGCTGGCAAAGAGAGGTTCAACATGGAGATGTCTGGCTTCTTCGAATCCTTGAGGATTTCGTCCAAGGAGAACTTTGTTTCATGTTCATTCCTCAGAGTTGGTCTATCGTTAAGACATGACGGTTTTATTCTTTCACCTTTCTTCAATGACGGCTTTGTAGGTACAACCAAGAATTTGGACATCTTTTTGATCAGCTTGCTGAGAATGTCTTCAATTATTGGCTTATGCCTTGACTTTGAGCGCTGAATGGCTTGGCGGATTTCCAGCCAGTCACTATAGCCATATTGTCCAATGTAGGAAGGATACTCTGTGACAGCTTCAAGGTTGTCTCTGGTGATGAGCATGGAGACGAGCATTCCACCATCTTTCATCCGTCCATTCATGTGACGTTTGAGATGTGATGGGGACTTATTCTCTTATTTAGACGATCTTCGCTCCATTTTCTATCTCAGTCATTCAGCTTCATTGCCTTTTCATGTTCAGCTTCTGCAATGGAAAGCAACTTAGCTTGGGCCTTGACAGCGTTCACCATCTTTTTAGATTTTTTCTTTGGAAGAACTTGAGCAGCAAGAGACTTGGCCAACTTTAGGCTGTCCTCAGTCTGTTGTCGTTGAAGATTGAGTTCTTCCTCAGCCTTGAGTGCCTCGAGTCTTTCAACTTCAGACAGAAAGTCAAACTCACCACAACTAGAGGTACTAAGAGGGATTTTTACTCTAGTTTGTTCGAGTGACTTCTTAAGCTGAGTCATCTGCTGGTCACTAGGAACACTGAAGGTTGGGTTTTCAGGTACCCATTTCTCTAGTCGACCGCAGGTAGTAGAAGGCATAGAAGAGAGTTGACAAAAGAAAGTGACTATTGCAAACCTGGAGAATTTTGTACTTTGAGGCACGACAGGTTTGAAGAGAACCTTGAGATTTCCTTCTTTACCAACACCCTTGTCTTTCGATGCGGTGTTCTGGTCCTTTGAGGAAGTATCCTTCTCTTTTTCTTTCTCTTTCTCCCCCTAGGGTGAAGAATCCCTGAGAGAGACTCATTTCAGAGCATTGATAGGCTTGTGGTACTGAATCATGAAGTCGTCGTCATTGTCGTCGTCATCATCATCACCACCGTGATACTTTCCAGCGTTAGGAAGGGACGGAGATTCATCATCATCTTCATTTTCATTGTCTTCATTATCATATTCCTCATCACCAGCATCAGATGCAGGGGTGATAGGAAGGTCTTCGTCATGAGCTTCAGCATCAGTTCTGAGGGCATCATCAACGACCTCAGTTTCATTAGCTTCATGGGAAGTGATGGTTTCATCAACAACCTCAGCTTCATTAGCTTCAGTTCTAGGAGCATCAGCTTTAGGTTCAGTTGTAGGGACAACAACAGCAACATCCAGATCTTTCTCCCCCTCTTTGTCATCAGCATGACTAGAGAAGAGGTTATCAAGACTCAGTGCTATGATGTCCATCCGTTGTTTAAGCTCGCTTAATGATCTATCTTGAAGAAGACCGACTTCGAGAGCCTGATCCAGTGTGAGGCGCTCCATCACTGTCAAGAAGGGTGTAGGAGCTAGTACTGGACATTGAAGGAGCTCCAGTATCTACTACAACAATTCACCATACCTGGCAAGCTGAGCATTCGCTTCATCGGCTTTGCTGTTTAGAGTAGAAATAGCATCAGCGTTGGTGCTTACAGCAACTTGCACCACAAAAAGTTGTTCATTGACTTCATTACGTCAGCGTTGACAGCTGAGAGGTCAGCGGAAACTTCATCCCTAAGAGGCATGCCTTTATGGACTTCATCCATTTTTATGAAGACAGTCTATACAGTAGGGAGTAGCAGCTTCACGTCATTAGCCATGTTATATTCCTCTTCCATGGCTGGCGTTTCTTCATCGCAAGGACCTGAAGAAGAAGATGGTTGAGCATAAGATGGCTCGGGGTTAGAAGAAATGAAAGGGTAGGATGGAGGATTACCTGAGGGTTCATCAGCACCATCTGAAGGATTGATGTTGGTTCTCTCCAGGTTGCCTTCATGTGGATAGGCGTCCATTAACTGAGGTGTTTCGAGAGGAGCAACCTCAGGTACTGTGGTGGGTGCTTCATCATGAGTGAATACAATCGATGATGAGTCATGAGCACGTGTTGAGAACAAAGAAGGAGGAGAGGAGAAGATGGCTGAGAATGGTGGAAGTAGGTGTTCAGCAGTGGCTATGCTGATATTTACATCTTCAGTGATTTGGGTCACTGAGACATTTGTGATCGGAGCCATAAGTACGACAGTGACTGTAAAAATCACAGAAGAGATTGTAGGAGACCAAGCTGAAGGTGCCTTGAGGTTAAGGCTAGTTTCAATAGCTGAAACCTTTTGAGAGGTAACAACCAGAGATGTGGTTGTTCCCTTTTTGGCTTTCTTGTCCCTTGATGGAGAACCAAAAGTGGTTTGAGAGGAGGTTCTTTTAGAAGAAAGGGAGGTGGTGGTTGGGATAGACTTTGGGGGGGTTTCCTTAGTCTTGACCACTGGAGCAAGGGAAGAAGGACATACCAACACAGTTGGAGAAGCTGAAGAAGGATATGTAGGCGTAGTTGAAGAGAGCGTAACGTCTTCAGTCCTCAGCTTATGATCCAGGATCTGGATCCAAGCTTGTAGATGGGAAGGTTTCCTTCTGTGGAGTACTTGTTGCTAAATATCTTAGCAAACACCATGGATAAGAACTTGGTGTAAGGTACTACCTTCTCCCTCTAGCGCTTGTTCAGCTTCAGCACCAGATCTTCAAAGATCATGCCGGCAAAGTTGATCGGCCTTTGGCGAATGACAGAGACAACAATGTTCAACGCAACTCTGGACGTTTGATCCTGTTCACCAGTATTGCTTCCCATATATTGGATGAAATGGTAAAACAAGAACTGCAATACCGCAGGCATGCGGTTCATCTCAATTATTGAAAGCAACTTTGAGGGGATCGCTGGAGTCCTTCTTTGTTGGCCAGGCGTAGCCAATATCATCCAAACAAGAGATGATATCTTCAGTGGAAGGTTCATCAGCATAAGGACCCTTTGGAAGACGGAGGGCGGTCCTTATTGTGGCAACGTCGAAAATGACAGTCATTCTGTTGAAGGTGAAGGAGATTTTCTCCACCTGTTGACTAGACTTATCAGTATTGAACGACTTCAGCAGTAAGCCAGAATTGCTGAAGAACTTCCTTCACTATGATTGGTTCATGGGAGATAGCGAAGAAGATAGGGGAGTTCTTGAGGAATGTAGCAGCTTCCTCGTAGTAGGACTTGTTGGCCGGAATGTCTAACAAAGCCACATGATTATTTGGCTTGAAAGACATATCGTCAATTGAAAAGTTCATGTTCTTGGCAGACATTTATGTTATAAGTAAGAATTAAGAAATAACAGACTTGTTAGAAATCCAAGATATAGTTGTGAGCTTATTAAGTTTTGGAACAATAAAACTTCTTTTGAAAAATCCACAAAGAAAATATCAGGGTTTTTCAAGAAGAATAGGTGTATAGAAACCTGAGATTATAACCAAATAGAAGAATGTGTTAATAATCTTTATGTTGGTCGTTTAAGAGAACAAGATCTTAAGTAACCTAACATTAGTTTTTTAAAAGGGGAAGAACAGATCAAGTAGAAAGAAAAATTATCAATCTGTGAGACTTAGAAGAAGAAGGTTGAAAGGTTTGAGCGGTTTTTAGTTCTTGCTTGCAAATGATTTTGAGGCAGATGTTCGACAAAAGTATTTGAAAGCGTAAGACAAAATTGAGAGGAGAAGTCTCATATTTATAGGTAGGAGGAGAGAGAAATGGAATTAGGAGAGAGAAAATGGAATTAGGAGAGAGGAAAATACGACTTTAAAAGTTGTGCAATGATGAAAAAAGTAGCACATTCTCATCCACGATTGGATGAATTTTGAGTGGTCGTGTGTGTCAGAACGATACGCACGTCTAAAAAAATCGTATCGTTTAAATAAAAATGACCTCATAAAACGTTTCATTTTCCATTTCTTTTAAAACAAAAAGTTTTAAGAAATTCAAAAACTACATTCTAAAGAATATGAAAGGGTTTTGAAAGGGTTCAATGATAAGAAGAATCACGGAAGAGAAGTAAATCTTTTAAAACATTGATAACCGAAGGAGAAAAGCTTCAGTGATGGTTTTGTTTTAAGAAAGGAAAATATCATAGAGAGATATATTTCCATAAAAGGTTTAGTGATGGAAGAAACACTCAAACTATCTTTTAAAAACTTTTGAATCACTGAATAAGAAAAGGTTCAATGATCATTTTTGTTTTAAGATAAGATAAGTATATCATAGAGAGATATACATCAACGATAGAAAGAATCGCTGAAACAATCTTTTAAAACGTTTTGATCACTAAAGATGAAAAGATTCAGTGATAGTTTTAAGTTTTTAAAGAAAAAGAATAAATATACATACCTTAGAGATAAAAAATATATTTACTCAGGAGTTCAGTAATAGAATAAGAACACTGAATTATTTCACGTACTGAGTAATGTATATAGTTGAAGGAATTAATCCTTAGTGTTTAGCATTCCAAGTTTGCTGATCAAGATGTTAAATCTTGTCTCATCAAGAGGCTTGGTAAAAATATCAGCAAGTTGGTAGTGAGTGGGAATAAGGTGAAGTTCAATATTACCATTCATAACGTGATCTCTGATAAAATGATATCGGATCTCAATATGTTTGGTCCGGAGTGAAGAACATGGTTGTTTGCAATCGCAATAGCACTAGTGCTATTGCAATAGATAGGAGTTTTAGAAACTGAAGATCATAATTGTTAAGTCGCTGAGCTGGTTTTTCATCCAAAGGACTTGGGCACAACAACTTCCAACGGCAACATATTCAGCTTCAGTAGTTGATGTGGACACATAATTTTTCTTTTTACTTGTCTAGTTTACCAACTTTCCACTTAGAAGTTGACAGACTCCAATGGTGCTTTTCCTATCAATTTTGCAAACTGCAAAATCACTATCCGAATAACCTATTAAGTCAAAACCTGAACCCTTAGGGTACCAGAGACCCAAAATAGATAACACATTAAAAAAAACAATTAGAACTACATAACCAAATAACAATAGTCAATAGAAACATAAATTGATAAAAATATCCAACAAAAATATATAGCAGCAAGAAGCACATGATTTTAACGTTGAATTGTTGAAACACGAAAACAGTCAAGCATATAGAGATAACTGTGATAACTAGATCCTGGTTATCACCCAAGGTAATTAATGTGTGTGATTATTTGATAAGTGATTTCGTGATAGCATGATAAATTATTATATTCGATCATGCTAATATGTGAAATTATGTGCATAAATGAGTATGCAATAAATATGTGAATTTTATGCATAAGAAATATATGCTTGATATGCATGTATGTATGCTTAAGTGAAAGCATGTATTAAATTATGCATGTGTGCATAAGTATTTATATGGATAATTGGATGTATGCATGCATGTGAAGGCTACATAAGGCAGTCGACTTTCCTAAGTAGGAAAGGGTATAAAAGGAGGGCTTAGCCTCCAGTTTACTCTTCTTGCTATTTTGATTAAGTTGAGCGATTTAAGGTAAGAGAGTTGACCGGATTGTTCTTGACCGAATTACAAGATCAAGTTGATTTCAAGTGTTTGGTTTCAAAAGATTTAAGGTGAGTGGTTAAAATGTTTTGAACCATTTTGTTTGCATCTTGAATTATGTTTTTTTAAAGTTTCATACCTGTTTTAAGTTTAATCTGGCTATGTGTTGAACGATTTAGATTAAACCGGATGAAGGGTAAACGATTTAAGGTTTAAATCGGACAAGGCTTAGTCGATTTAGATTAAACTGGATAAGAGGGTTGAGTGGTTTAGTCTTAAACCGAACAAGTGTTGAGCGGTTTATGATCATTGAGTTTATACCAAGTATTTTGAACGGAGAAGTAGGAATACGACTAAAAGGTGACCGGATTATTTTAAATCGGACAAATCTTAAGCGATGTAGTGTCCGGACTTGTTATCCGGACAAAAGTGTTGGAATTTATTCTAAGTGTTAAATCGGACAAGCCTTGGACGATGTGTTGTCCGGATTTGGTAAACCGACCAAGATTTGACCGGAGATGAAGTCCGGCCAAGCCATGTTGACCGGATTTGTGCTATGCCTTGTGCTTGATTGATAAAAATTGTTATTTTATCATAAAATGGGAATTTTTGATATAGATAATTTTGAATTAATAAATAATTCCATTGACTGCGGTCTATTTGGAATTATTTTTTTGTAAAGTGTTTTGATGAGGAAATAAAGGTGGCATATCAAGGAGAGGTGTACCATGGGATATGGGTGGCATATCAATGAGAGGTGTACATTTGGATATAAGGGTGGCATTTGTATGTGTGTTGTATGATATAACTCTTTCTATTATATTCCTTAAGATTACCGTGGTTTGGAATCTTTATTTCTTTGTGATTTAAAGATTTAGGATCAATGTTCTTATTGGAAATTGTAGTCTGGATGTTATTGAGGAGAAAATAACAG